GAGGAAGCCACGGAACATGTTTTTAGGAATGCACATTAGCGGGGAGAGGGGCAGGGACAGGTGAATCTAGAAAGAGAGTGTTACCAAGTTCCCAGAAGAAACATATGGACAAAAGAGGTGAGATGGATTTAGAGTCAAATTAAACAAATGTCTTGATTTTGCTGAATGCTGCTCCTACTCATGCCACTTAAAAAACTCACCGGGTGACACACACAACGACAGCTGCCAGTTAGAAGCCCCTACTTTACGCTGGGAACTCCACAGGTGCTTCACATTCAGGATTGCTCACTTCAAGGACAAGACCGGTGGGATCAGCCCTGCCACAGACAAGGCAGGAGGCTCCGGGAACGGAGGTACTGCTTTTCTAGGGTCACACAGGAACAGGCAGAGCCAACATTCAAAACCCAAGTCTTTGTTCTCACTGCACAGCCTGACTGCAGGACGCAGACCATCTCAAGAGCTGTTTTCCCAGCTCTCGGGCCTCTCTGTCACCTCCCAGCGGCCATGCTATGAAGGCCTCCGGTGGAACAAGTCTGGGCACTGCAGGGTGGCAAAGTCCGTCTGGAAGGGTCTTTCTCAATGTGCATCTGCTGCCGCCTCTGGCTTCCTGCCAGTTGCTGAGCTGTTTTGTCAAATGTTTAGAAACTATGGCGACTGGCTGAGTAAATAACTGAAGTTGCTATGGCAACCATCAGAAACTTCATCTAAACTTGTATCTCACAACTATTTGAAATTTATGCTCCAGTTGTTGACAGGGGAAAATGGGGAGTTTCTTTTTTGGGGGGAATAAAATGTTCTAGAATTAAGTGGTTATACAACTTTGAATGTACTAAAACCACTTTATAAAAAAGTGAATTTATGGCATGTGAATTACTTCTAAGTAAAAACAACTCTGACTTTAATAAAAAGAGTCAGATATTACCAAGTCCTGGAGAAATGTGGAGAAACTATAACCCTCATATATTGCTGGTGAGCGTGTGAAATGGTGTAGCCACTTCAGGAAATAGTTTGCCAGATCCTCAAAAAGTTAAACAGTTACTTTATGATCCAGCAATTCCACTCCTGTGCATATAAAACCCCTCAAAAGGAAAACATATGTCCACACAAAAACCTGTATGCAAATGTTCACAGGAGCATTATTCATAATAGCTAAAAAGTAGAAACAGCCCGGCTGGCATGGCTCAGTGGTTGAGCATCGACCTACGAACCAGGAGGTCAGAGTTCGATTCCCGGTCAGGGCGCATGCCCAGGTGGCGGGCTAGATTCCCAGTGTGGGGCATGCTGGAGGCAGCCACTCAATGATTCCTTCTCATTGTTGATGTTTCTATCTCTCTCTCCCTCTCTGAAATGAATAAAAACATATTTAAAAAAAAAAAGTAGAAACAGCCAGAATACCCAGCAGCTGACAAACAGGTACATGAAATGTGAGATACTCCCTATGCAATGGAGTATTATTTGATCTTGGGAGGAACAAAGTACTGACACATGCTACAACATGGGTGAATCCGAAAATATTGTGCTAAGTGAAAGAAGCCAGTCATAAAGGATCACCCATTGTACGATTCCATTTATGTGAAATGCCCAGGGCAGGCAAGTCTATAGAGAAAGAAAGTGGGTGAGTGGTTGCCTAGAGCTGGGACGGCTAAGGGGGAAAGGGAGACCAACTCTAATAGGCATGGGGTTTCTGTGTGGCACTGAAAATGTCCTAAAATTGACTGTGGTAATGGCTGCACAGCTATTGAATAGCTACACATCATTGACTTGTACTGTACAATTTAGGTGGGGATTACTAGTATATCTCAATAAGGCTGTTAAATATTTATAGGCTCATTTCCATTAATTTTTGAAATATTATTTACCTAAAACAATGCCAGCGAAAACTTGTTGTAACGCAGCATGTAGCCCTGCTTAGTTGACTAATCAAGGGGATTAAATCCTCTTAAAGAAAAAATAAGCCCTGCCCTGGCCGGTTTTGTTCAGTGGATAGAGCATCGGCCTGGGAACTGAAGGGTCCCGGGTTCGGTTCCGGTCAAGGGCATGTACCTTGGTTGCAGGCACATCCCCAGTAGGGGGTGTGCAGGAGGCAGCTGATTGATGTTTCTCTCTCATCGATGTTTCTAACTCTCTATCCCTCTCCCTTCTTCTCTGTAAAAAATCAATAAAATATATTTTAAAAAGAAAAAAGAAAAAATAAGCCCTCACCATAATGACAACTGGACTTAGATGAGGCCAAGTTCAAGGTTTAGCAGGTTTATAGAAATGCTGCCTCCAGGAAATCGATAAATAATCATGTATCGTAATACTATTGCTCTATTTTTTTTTTTTAACAGAACTAGCCTTGGGGTACATGAAAAAGTACTATAAATTAAGCTAGGTCAGGGAGCACAGGAGTGAGTTCACCTTAATGCATGTTTCTTAAAGAGTACTGAAAGAGCACTTACCGACAAGCAGCTCATTCCTGGTTTGGGATTGAAAGTCACATTTTAGAAACTATTCTGTTATTAGAAAAATACTCATCTGTAGAATTTTGGAACTGTACTTGTCTGGGATGTTAAGACTTCCCAGTAAAGAGGAGAGCACGTATGCTCTGCCCAGCATGAATGTCTGCAGTGTTAGTTCCCACACAGAGTGGCTTATGGAGAGGCAGGGCGGGAGACACACGCAGGGTCCTGGGCAGGACTCCAGCTAAAGCCGCTGCTGCGGAACCGGGACCGTGTGGTGGAGCTGGGGAGGAACAGGCTAACGAGAGTCGTAGGGAGAAACCGTCACTGTGACTGTGACTGAACACGGACTGAGAGCACGGGCCTCAGGGATCTCAGGGTAAACAGGCAAGCACCCAGGTAGTCCTAAAGCTTCCCACCTTAGGCCCCTTTCGGGTCAGAAAGAGATAATTCTACCCTCAAAAATAGCTTTTCATTCAGTTTAAAATTCTTTTGCCCACCTAGACTTACCTTCCTTTAAGAAAACTTAAAGTACAAATGAAAACGTACCCTTTACGTGTAAAAACTCTACAGATAAGCCAGAGGTAAATCACCAAACTTTAACCGAGTGTAGACATACCATTTCTATTCAGAAATCTACTCACTGCTCAGAAAGGCATGTTGTAGATACACATATATGAACATCATCATTATACAAAGGAGAAAAGTGAAGTGCAGAGCAAATAGGTCTCACCAAGTGACCTAGAACCAGAAGTAAGATTCAACTTAGGTTTTACAACTCTTAATTCGGCTTCTTACACTCTTATACTCATTTTATATTAGATGCAAAAAAATAAGCTTAAAATATTCTTTATAAAGACTATTCCCAGGTTTTATAAACATATTATTTCAAGTGCATTAGGGGGTAGTAATTCTACACATATCTTCTCACTGGTAGTAAGTACTAAGCAACTTTAAATTATACCATCCCACCTAGGAAAACTGGGAATAAGCCATGGAAGGGAGGAATACCGTAAAAGGAGTCATAATCGTGAAGCTATGACTGACCCTGATACATATGCAACTAGATCTCAGTTCTTAAAAATATCACAAGATTGGATTAGAGAGGTACAGTCAAGCTTCCCTTGAATTATAAAGAATAAATCAATTTATATAAATAGTACTGTATATATCATAGCTAATGTAGGTCTTGTAAGAAAATGCTTTCATATTGCTTATCAAATTTATTTTAATTTGCTTTAAGACTACTAAGGAAAAGCAAAGACAAAGGGATCAATTAACTGGAAAGTCAAATTATGAGCTCCATTAAAAAGTTATCAAGTTATCTTATAGAATAAATAAGGATTTGTAGAAAATGGAAAATTTCATTTTTTACTCCAAATTAAAAAATACTGGCCCTAACTGGTTTGGCTCAGTGGATAGAGTCTGCGGACTGAAGGGTCCCAGGTTCGATTCCGGTCAAGGGCATGTACCTTGGTTGCGGACACATCCCCAGTAGGGGGTGTGGAGGCAGCTAATCGATCTCTCATCGATGTTTCTAACTCTATCCCTCTCCCTTCCTCTCTATAAAAAATCAATAAAATATATTAAAAACAAACAAACAAACAAAACAATAAAAAACAGACTATGGCAAATCCGCCACAGACGCAGAAGAGAGCAGCAGGTGAGAGGAGGCAGTGCACTCCGTGCAGAGCTGGATGCAGGCGGCTGGCCTGGGAGTGGCGCTGACCAAGGAGTCCCAGCGGGGGATGCCCCAGAACCCTCCACCCCGCCCCCGCCCCCGTCCCACTTCTGATACAAAATAGCCAGAGGCTGCGTTTTCCCAGGGCTGCCCTGTCATCCAGGCAAAATAGTCCCTACTTCCAAATTTTAATCACCAAACCACATGCCCAATAAGTTATGCTCTGAATTACTTTGTAACCGAAGTGACTATACATAATTAAAGCTTGATGCCTTATTCAACATTATATGTTAATGTATATATTCACCCACTGAGTGAGTTGGAAAGATTTTATAGAAAGTAAGACTATACAAGCACATAAACTCACAGGTTAGAGATCAAAGCCACAATGATGACAGAAGAAAATTTTTGAGGCTAATTTTGGCAGAAAAGGGTCTAATTTATAAAGGAAGAGAGGACTCTATATTCAGGGCATCTCTCTCCCACCCCCAAATGTATACACACTTTAATATTTTTAGATCAATTGATGTTTCTTGCTTTTCAGATTTAACCCATTGGGATTAATAATTATTCAAAGTGTGTACACAGTTTTTGGGGAAACCCTGTATTTAAAGTATCTAGTGTGAAGACATGTATAAAGAATGTCAATTTCAGCACATTTATTACAGAGCATACTGGGAGTAGCCATACAGAATGGTTAAACAAAGGATGGTACACCCACACGCCCGCACACCACGCAGCTGGGTCTGTTTGTGCGCCTGTAGAACTAGCTCCGGACCATACTGAGAGAAGACAAGCGAGAGGCAGGGCCGCTACAGTGTGGGCGGGAAGAAGATGTGTTTTCAAGGAGTGGCACAAGCAGTAATTAAAAACAGTACCTGGTGGGACCTTCCTGGCCGTGCCTGTCTTGGTTCTTGGGCTTCTCTTTCCAGGTATGCTTTCGTCCTTTCCCGAGAAGTCCTGTCCATCCTTGGGGCCTTCGTGAGCAGTGTGTTCTGAGGTCTCACTGGCGGCCGCCTCACAGCTGGGTGTGCAGCCCGCGTTGTTGTTGAGGCTGTCCTGCTCGGACGCTGCAGGGTTGCCCATGGCACCGTCACTGCTGGTCAGGCGGTCATGCCCACACCCGTCAAGTCGATTTTCATTTTCGTCCGATGCAGAAGGCAAGCGGGACCCTACACTTCCCACACCGCCACCAGGATGACGCCCATCTTGTGGTTCTATCTGAAGTTTACCTGCAGGCGGTTCACTGTCATCCATTAGAGCATCTTTTGTTGAGTCCTGTGAGTTTCATTAAAGTCCTTCCATGTCTGCAATGACAAAAGGAGAAAAGCTGATTTATTTTCTAAATTCTGGATCTACCAGGGGGCCTCCTTTCCTCTTCTCTGGGGTTGCCTGACTTACACAGGGAGGCGTGGGAAATGCCTGGCGCTACTCCCGCCCCCTCGCCCACTCACAGTCCCACCCCAGCTCCCCTTGCCTCGATCTCGATCTCGTTTGGACACAGTGGTTCTCAACCCTGGCTGATGTTTATTACAAATAAACAGGCGAGTAAAGTCTATCGTAAATCTATCAAACCAGAGTCTCGGTGGCTCAAGCCCAGAGACGATGTATTTTTAGTTCTCTAGGACATTCTAATGTGCATCATGTTGGGACTGTTGCCTCAATGAAAGAAATTACTGGTTAGATGAGGTTATCTGCTAAAATCGACCACTCATGCTATAACTGGACACTTAACCGGACAAGTGAAAGCTAGTTGTTTAAGTCCTTGTCTGGCCAAACACCAGCAATATTTGCAAATGAAAACATTTATATCTACTTAAAATAATGAAAAAGGCATGTGGGGAAAAATGCAGGTAGCATATATTTATACTATTCTCATTACATCTTTCACATTCTGAAAATAAGCCCTAAAAAAGTACAATTGTTAGCAAACTCCTTTTATACAATTAAGAATGATAAGAAAGAGAACACCATGATTAATTCTAGCCTATTTAGTTTAAACTTATATCTGTTTCGAGGATCCTGCTAACATTTTGAAGATCTACAAAATGGATTACAAGCCCTTAATCAGTCACATTTTATCCACTCTTATCAAAAAGTACATTTTAAGGGAAATGGTGTCAGCCAGATTTAGTTTTATTTAATGCCAAATATGATTTTGGGTTTGAATAAAATGTAATATTCCAGTAATTCTGAAAAAAAACCCACCCCTCAATAATAGAACTTTTAAAATTCTTCTAATTAATAAACAGAAATGCTTACTCTTTAGACATGTAAAGTACAATTCTTTAAAAATATGAAAAGGAAATATAAACTATATCATCAACTCTACCCTGGCTGTATCATATGCTTTCAATATATTTTGCAACTGGAATACTTTGATTCAGACATAACAGTACTGCTTGGCAAACATAAAAGTATCCAAATCTGACTGGTATCATCTTCCTTAAAACATATACTACTTATCTTCAATGGATAGGTATGTAATGTAAAAAGTAAGATGATTTGATTTGACTAGAATAACTTAGTGTAGAACTAAAAGAAATTCTAATAGAGGGGGTTACTATTAAATGGTAACAGAGGCTTTGCTTACGGTGATGGAAAGACCTGGAAACGAGAATGGTGATGGTTGCATGACAGTGTATAATTGATAACACAGAATTGTAGACTTAAAAATTGTTAAAATGGCATGTTTTATGTTATTTACATTTTCTCACAATAAAAACAGTGAAATTTATGTGGCTATGTAGGACAAATGTCAGACCTTAAAACTGGTAATCGCCTCGATTATTTTATAATTTAAATAAACAAGCCATAGTCTACATGTATTTGCAGTTGAAAAGCATAAAGGTTTTACTTTTACCTGCAAGTGACACGGAAGTCACAGGCTAAGGGGAACAGTGGGAAGTAGAAAACCGTCTAGAGAGCCCCAAATAGTAGCCATCCTGTCGTATTGAGTCACTTCTGTGCGTTAGAGACTGTGCCAGGTACTTCACGTGCCTTCGTCCCAATCCTCCGAATAAGCCCGTTATTGGGCCGCATTCCCTCTGGGCTCCAGGTGGAGACTCTGAGGCCCGAGAGGCAACAACCCCTCACTTCAGATCATGTTCCTGGAGAGAAGTGGAACTGGGTCTGAAACCAGGACTTCCTGTGCTGCCCCTGGTGCACTGAGCGTGATGGCTGAGAGCAGCGGCAGGCTGAGGCTCAAATTCTGGCTCTGCCCTTAACAACGGTGTGACCTCGTTACCTAGCACCTCCAAGCTTCACTTTTCTCATTAGAGAGGAGAATTTTAAAGCCTGCCCTGAAGTGTCGTTTTGAGGCTCACACAACACGGCAGGTAGAGCACTTAGCAGGGTGCCCGGCCCCCAGTAAATGCTGAATGAAAGTGGGCTGTCATTACTTGCACAGACTCTCCAGGTTGGCATTCAGCACTGGAGGTCACTCGCGCAGGTTGCACAGGTCTCAGCCTCTGCCCCACGGCGGGTTCAGAAACGGCGCTTTCCTGTCCTCCCAGGAACACTTAGGTTCTTGATGAGGGACTCAGGCTACCAGCACCGTTTGGGATGCTGGGAAGCACTGCTTTGTGACGGGGTATCTGATTTCGTTCCTGGAATGCTGAAGCGTCTGACCTGCACACCCTGTTTGCGATGATTCAGATATCGAGAAATTAGTGGTTAAGGCTCTTGGTGGGTATACATTACAGATCATATTCACGGCTTCGCTGAGTGTCGTGCGAGGCCCTGAGTGAAACTCTTCCGATCAATGCTTTCATTCAATCCTCACGGTTCCTTAGCAGACAGATGGTTTTAGCCCCATTGTACCCATTGCAGAGACAAGTATCGTATCTTGTCAACTCACTCGGCTCGCACGTTGAGGCATGAAATTTGAACGAGTTCTGATCTTGAGGCCACATTCTTGTCATTATGCCCTACGGACAACGGGGAGAAATCTGTAACTGAGAGCACCTCACTCCAGTGAGGTACGCCCCAGTGAAGAATCTCCACCCGACAGCAGGGGACACACATCTGATGACCAAGTTCAAGTTCCTGGAAGTCTTCTCTTTCCCTGGGAAGGGCTGGGTCCACACAATGCACCATTTCCTACATGGCCTGCCTTCTCCTGTTGACAACCATTTAAAGCTATATGCAGGTGTCCCCCCAAAATGCAAACACACTATGTCTGTAGATCCTATTACATTTTGAAAATGAAATGTATTTCAATAAACACTGCCTTTATAATTATTCAAAGTGTGTATACATTTTTTGGGGGACATCCTGATATGCTATTTCAGTAACTATTACCAGTAGCGTAGGTGTTCCTTCCTTTGGGCCTCAAGACATGTTGCCTATTAGTTTGTAATGACAATTAGTTTAATTCTCAAAAGGTAACTTTGTAAACTACTTTTTTAAAAAAAATATTTTTATTGATTTCAGAGAGAAAGGGAGAGGGAGAGAGAGATAGAAACATCAATGATGAGAGAGAATCATTGATCGGCTGCCTCCTGCACGCCCCCCACTGGGGATTGAGCTTGCAACCCGGGCATATGCCCTTGACTGGAATCGAACCTGGGACCCTTCAGTCCGCAGGCCGACACTCGATCCACTGAACCAACCCGGCCAGGGCTGTAAACTACTTTTTATTTATTTATTTATTTATTTTTATTTTTATTTTTTTAAATATATTTTATTGATTTTTTACAGGGAAGAAGGGAAGGGATAGAGAGTTAGAAACATTGATGAGAGAGAAACATCGATCAGCTGCCTCCTGTGCGCCCCCCAGTGAGGATGTGCCCGCAACCAAGGTACATGCCCCTGACCGGAATCGAACCTGGGACCCTTCAGTCCGCAGACCGACGCTCTATCCACTGAGCCAAACCGGTTCGGCTGTAAACTGCTTTTTAATACTGACTCTTATGGTCTTTCCATGGCATTAATGTCTTATAATTATTCTTACAAGACATCTACCAATTCTTCAAGTCTTGGCTGAAAAGTCAATCCAATTTGCTTACCCTGACCTCTCCCTTCCAAAAGGCCCATACATAACATACCCACTAGAGCAGCGGTCGCCAACTGGAGGTCCGTGAGGTCCGAAAGGTTGGCGGCCGCTGCTCTATGGCAGTCTGTACCACCACATAGAGCCCTTCCCAAATACTGTCCTACATGGTATATTTTTGCTATGTGTCCTCCTAGATGTAAGCATCTGGATGCCCATAACCCAGCCACAGGTAATTTTTATTCTTCACAATGGCTAGTCTTGGGCCTTGTTCTTACAGATACATGAAGGAGTAACAGAACCAATTTTCTACTGTTTCTCTCTGAAAAGGAAAAAGTCAGGCACGTGGATTCCCGTCCACTTCCTCGGAGAGGTAAAGGGACCGATCATACAGTATTTGGCTTCTGTCTACATTGCTGACGCACTTCAACTAGAATATTTTAATTTAAACAATAGGATAACTTTCTTAATGGGACTTCTAATCACTGTAGTCCTACTGCTTTTGGAAACAGTTACAGATGTTATTTTTGCCTCTTCTCTCTCCTTTTCCCCTCTCCCTCAATGCTAGACCAACAATATTTTTATCAGCCTTTTAAAAAAATGTATAAAATACGATGAAAACATATGAAAAATATGATACAGTCACAATGTTGGTGTTCGTGCACCTGTATCTCACCATGAGAAAGCACTCGGGAAAGGGAAGGTCTCCAGGAGAAGGAGACCCAGCTGACACACAGGGCTGAGCATTATGCTAGCGCTGCGCAGGGCCTGGAGCCAGAGGCACAGCTGACGTAGCACTCAAGGCTCTTTGCCGTATCTAAACTGTATGTCTATTCTGTGAGAGTCCCTTTGTCGGTAACCAGTTCTCAGGAAAGGAACAGCCACATGCAGTCACTGCACTGATTCCGGCCGATTTTGCCTTTTGAAAGCATGACAGTGCGTGCGGCTCAAGCTTCCAGCTCCTGCAGCAGAATCACATTCCAAATATGTCCACTGCGTGAAGTTATTTGACATGTTGGCTCTGTACCGCTGAAGAATGCCAGGCAAACATGCTGAAGTGAGGCTTATAAAAACCTGAAAACCACAACACTTCGAAGGAGCTTTACATAAACAATTCAGTGTGACAGGCTAACAGAAAGAAATCTACATTTTGTTAGAAATATAACCTCAACTCCAGGTTCACTTGACTTCACTTTTGAGACATCTGATGAGAGTACAAACATCAGGTGTGACTAAAATCTAAAAAGAACGGAATAGTTAAATATATAACATTACTCAATGACTTTATTAAAATGCTTTAAGGAGGTATGTGTGCCATGTTTCTGTAATTCATACAAATTAGGCCTAAATACTATATTTTTACTTTTGAAAGAAGCTGAAGTTCTTAAGCATTAACATGGGACCCCCAAGTTTAACTTTGATAATTTCTAGTCAAAACAAATAAATTTAGAGGAAGACAGTAACCAGATCAATTAGGTATTCCACTAAACCTAAATTCAAAAATTTTTTAATATATATATATTTTTATTGATTTCAGAGAGGAAGGGAGTAGGGGAGAGAGATAGAAGCATCAATGATGAGAGGCAATCATTGATCGACTGCCACATGCATGCTCCCCCCCCCCCCCCCCCCCCCCCCCCCCCCCCCCGGGATCAAGCCCATGAACTGTGAGCCATGCAGGTGGGGCAACCCTAAATTCAAATTTGGCTACTCATAGTCAACTCAGAATTGAGGAAGAAAGTCACCACACCCATATAGTACAGGGTTTATATTTATTTATATTAAAATGATGTTGATCTATTTAAATACACCCTATCATTAAAATGAATTTCATTTTTTATACATATATACTAGAGGCCTGGTGCACAAAATTTGTGCGGGGGGGGGGGGGTGCCTCAGCCCAGCCTGCACCATCTCCAATCTGGGACCCATCGTGGGATGTCCGACTGCCTGTTTAGTCCCGATCCCACCCCAGGATCGGGACTAAACGGGCAGTCGGACATCCCTCTAACAATCCAGGACTACAGGTTCCCAACTGCTCGCCTGCCTGCCTGCCTGATTGCCCCTAATTGCTTCTGCCTGCCAGCCTGATCACCTCCTAACCACTCCCTTGCCAGCCTAATTGATGCCTAACTGCTCCCCTGCCGGCCTGGTCGCCCCTAACTGTCCTCCCCTGCCGGCCCAGTCACCCCCAACTGCCCTCCCCTGCTGGCCCAGTCACCCCTAACTTCCCTCCCCTGCCAGCCTGGTCACCCCTAACTGCCCTCCCCTGCTGGCCTGATTGCCCCTAACTGCCCTCCCATGCAGACCCGGTCACCCCCAACTGCCCTCCCCTGCTGGTCCAGTCGCCCCTAATTGTACTCCCCTGCCAGCCTGGTCACCCCTAACTGCCCTCCCCTGCTGGCCCGGTCACCCCTAACTGCCCTCCCCTGCTGGCCCGGTCACCCCCAACTGCCCTCCCCTGCAGGCCATCTTGTGTCTACATGGGGGCGGCCATCTTTGTGTTGGAGCGATGGTCAATTTGCATATTACTCTTTTATTAGATAGGACTTTTTTTTTTTTGATAGGATTTTTTCTATTGATTTCAGAGCAGAAAGGAGAGGGAGAGATAGAAACATCACTGATGAGAGATAATCATTGACTGGCTGCCTCCTGCACGCCCCCCAGTGGAGTTTGAACCTGCAACCCAGGCATGTGCCCTTGACTGGAATCAAAACCAAGAGCCTTCATCCACAGGCCAATGCTCTATCCACTGAGCCAAACTGGCTGGCGCTGAATTTCACTTTTTATTTATTTATTTAATCAACTTATAGAGAAAGTTTATTTAGAGAGTTACAGAGGTAGAAGAAGTGAGCCAGCCAGGCTGCGTGGGCTCAGGAAACAAGTCACAGAGGCAGAAGGAGGGCTCCTGGAGCTTGATGAGAGCTTTAGCAGAGAGAAAAGCAAAGGTAAGGAGCTGGGGGTGGGGGTGGGGGGAGAGGAAGAGGGGAGAGGAAGGATGGGGGCGTGTTCCCCAGAGGGAGCACGTGTGTCATTTCACCTTTTAAAAACTTTTAAAACATGGTTACTAGAAAACAAAATTCCCCATGAGGCTCACATTCCATTCCGCTGGAAAATGCTGCTCCCCAGGACATTGCCTCGACAGTGCCACCTGAGCCACAGTTGTGGCTCAGGATGATTCACTCCAGTCCGGATTCTCTCTTGCTAATGTAAGCTGTGCGGTAGGCATTTCCTGGCTACAGACATTAATGTTACTATAATTAAACAAGGTCAATACTAAAGGAAATAAGCCCTATATGCTTCTAAGTTACATTTTTAAATACGTCTGTATATCCTATTTTCAGGATGGAAACCACAGGATCATGCATTCCCATTTTTTGGTGCTTTTCCATGCTCAAAATATTTCTGGAATTTCATGAATATAGCATAGTAATTAGAATAAGTAAAACAGTCATATACTATTCTTTCTGAGATGGTGCAGTGCAGAAGTAAACCAGATTGTTTTAATATTTCCTTATTAAGAATAAAAGTTTGGTTATAAGGAATTCATTCTTCATGTAGAAAAAAGAAAGGTCATAGAAAAATGATGCCATAAGGCTAGAAAGAGGATAGAAATGTGAAAAAATATATAACAAAACTACAGGAACATAAAAGGAAAAACAAAAATAAATGATTAATTATAGTCAAATGTTTCTCTTCAAATATGAAAAAAATAACTGAGACTATGTGACTCGTAAGCCCCGAACAACCTTGGGGAGCCAGCTTGAGAGAAGGGAAGCATAACTTGTTGCATTTTCCTCAATCCTCCCTTTCAAAATGGGGCTCAGTTCAAGATAGCTTACTCATCCGCAGAGCCCTTGAAATAAAAGTCTATCACACATGGAAACGACAGGTCAAAGCCGCACCGTGGGTATCCACGCGGTGCAAAGACAGTAA